GGAAAAGACCGGGGTCGCTATAGCACAACAAAAGCTCTACTTCAAAAACTTAGATAAGATGATTGGGATATTTTTCTTGCAAATGTGGTGTCATTTTGCAATCGACATAACATTGCGGTGAATGATATGAGTTCTCCTTATGAAGAGGGTACAAGTCATCGTCGTCAACAAGATCACATTACAATTGAGCATTATTATCACTTTGGCATATTCAACTCTACAATTGATTTTCAATTGATGGAGTTAGAACACAGATTTACTGATGGGGTAGTGGAACTTCTTTCTCTTAGCTCAGCTTTGCATCCTAGTGGCAATTTCAGATCTTTTAATGCGGATAATATTTGCAATCTTGCCGAGAATTTATCCCCAATATTTCACTTCTCAGGACATCCATGCTTTGAGATGTCAATTAATGCATTATAAGCTTGATGTTGTTTGTGATCCCGAGTTTCATAAGATATCTACCCTTACCGATTTGTGCCGAGAACTATTTGTGACAATAAAGTTTGAGCATTACACCATAATCTACAAATTGATTCGTTTTGTGTTAATCCTTGTTGTTTCTACGGCGACTACGGTAAGAACATTTTCGAGTATGAAGCATGTTAAAACTGCCATTCGTAATTCAATGGGGGATGAGTTTCTTGTCGATTGCTTGTCTCTCTACCTTGAACGAGACCTTACTTTGAAAATTGATTTAAATTCTATAATTGATGAATTCGAATCTTTAAAAACTCGTCGAACACAACTTTGTTAGATTGTTTTTAATCAATAAATTTAGATATTAATGTAGATTATATTAATAAATTTTCTTTTTTCTTATGTGGTTATATTTAAAATATATTGTATAATTTTACCTTAATATTAGCCCACCCCATCAATGAATCCTGGGTCCACCCTTGCAAAGACAGGTACTCGTATATGTTTATGTCATGGAAACTCCCTGATACTACAGTCATTCATCAAGCATTTTCGCTCCAAGTACTTTCCACATTCCCAATAATCTTAACATAGAGATGGCCTAAGAAACACTGACACTTCTAAGGAGGTAATGTGTCATGTCGGACATTGACACGACACGACACTCGTTGGACACTTCCCAACACACACACACACACATGTATATGTGCTCACATATAAACATGATGACAAGAAAGAAACACTGATAACTTACTGTTAATGCAAGTTGTGAGTTGGCAGTTAAGTCTCGATATTTTGTACTCAATGTAATGAGTTCGTTCTGGCAATATATCGGACCCACTGATTCTAACCTGCAAACGTAAATGAGGAAGACAAGCAGAAAAAATAAAAAAACAGCCACTTCAAATTATTGTTTTCACACTACATGGTATTTTGTGTAATTTCTAGTAGTTCAAAAACTGATGTATAATATATATATAAAAGATGAGATAGATGCATATTTTTATGTTGCCCAACCCAATTGACATGGGAATCTAAGAATGAGATCAACTAGGGTATGGCTTCTGTCCAGTCCGGGATCGAACTGGACCGTGCTGTTGGGCCCGTGGGAGCCCACCACGGGTCTCGTTTTGATAATCTGAATCGTTCAATGTGTAGAAATCGTCGAGTACTATATGCCTGTAAAAATCACGTTGATCGGATGTCGATAGCTATGTAATCAAAACAGTTTTTTGTCAACCGTTAATTTGTTCACCGTCCAATTTTTTTAATACGAAGCTGATTTGATCATATAGTTATCGATATCCGATCAATGTGATTTTTTACAGGCATATAGTACTCAACGAGTTTTACACATTGAACGGTTCAGATTATCAAAACGGGACCCATGGCGGCCCCCCACGGGCCCAACAGCACGGTCCAGTCTGATCCCGGACTAGACAGAAGCCATACCTGATCAACTAAACCTTGTTCTAGTGGGAAGCCCAAACGGCGCACCATCAATGTGCAATGCGCGCTCAACATATAGCTCCGGTCTTCTCTGCTCTATAGAAAAATCAACTTCAGCTGAAGTATTGAATTAAACACAATCGTAAATACAAATTCCCATAAATGTGATGAATCGCAACATCATTAAGATATACTGTACCAACCCAATAAAACTTTAAACAACAAGATTCAGAAAAACTCATAAATTTCTCAGACCCTAGGTTAAAGTGTAAGAATTTTTCTTGAATATGGCTTAATGTGGCTTATACATGATTATACTAGATTCATCTCATTAAGCAAGATACATGTACATCAATTAAATGGTGACTAATCATTGATGAATGCACCTATATATACATAATGTATAGAAGACTAATGGAGATAGTGTCAATGCATTGAATGTGATAGATTCATTATGAATGAATCTTAGAGATACATCATGTATCTATTATGAATGTAGAAGATACATTAATCTATCTAATGAGGTTCATTGAATGAATGGATTCTTTGATGGAAAGCTTACTAGTATAAATAGTGTAAGGTCCCAAACCACACTCTCTATCACAAAACTCAAGTTGTCACCACAAGAAGGCCCCCATCGCCTAGAGAGAGAAAAGTAGTTTGAAGATCTTAGACAAATAAAGAATTTGAAGATCAAGTTATTCTATTCAAGGTTTTTCTTACTCAAAAGAGGTTTTTCATACTATCATGGATCAAGGTACGTATACAGTTATTTTGGATAGTAAAAACTCATACAGTTTTCATGTATAGAATTGAATTCTTAACGGTTTTTAGTTTATGTTCTGCAAAGTTTCTATCAATTGGTATTAGAGTATGGTTCTCAATTCTGATGCATGAAACGTATAAGAAGAAGATCAATTATAATATGCAGAAAGATAAGTGGAAGATGAGTGAGTTAATTACCATGTGTGCTTAAGAAGAAGAGAGGCTTGAAGTTGAAAAGTCTGATATGGCTCACCTTACAACCTTGGGTCCAACCAAAAAGATTTTCAAGAAAGGCAAAAGTAAGAAGAAGAAGAATGCAAATGATGAAACTCACAAGGCTAATGAAGAAAATAAGATTCGATGCCATTTCTGTCGAAAGAAAGTCACATAAGAAAAGACTGTCCAGGTTTTAAAGGTTGGTTGTACAAGAAAGGTAACACTTTGTGTCTTATGAATCCTTTTTGGTAGATGTTCCACCAAATTCTTGGTGGATTGACACTGGTGCAAGTATTCACATAACAAATTCCATGCAGGGATACCTTACAAGTCGAAAACTAACTAAAGGAGAATGAACCATTACGTTTGGGAATAGAATAGAAGTGGACGCTGATGCTATTGGCACCCTCCATCTAATTTTAGACTCTAGTTTCATTTTAGATTTAGTAAACACAGTTTATGTTCCTGCTTTTACTAGAAACCTAATTTCTGTTTCACAACTTGATTCCCGTGGTTATGAATTTAAGTTTGGAAATAATGGAGTCTCTTTATTCCATAATTCTCATATGATTGGTTCTGGTACTTTATATGGTAATCTTTATTCATTGAATTTAAATTCCACTTATACACAATCTCTTTTGTCCTTTCATGTAAATGACTTGGTAAATAAGAGAAAGCGAGTGAATGAAAATTCATCTATGCCGTGGCATAAGCGCTTGGCCCACATATCAAGAGAAATGATGGAACGTCTTATTAAAGACGGAATTTTAAGTTCACTTGATTTTTCTGATTTTAGTAGTTGTGTGAATTGCATTAAAGGAAAATACACAAAGACAAAGAAAAATGGTGCTACTAGGACTACTGAATTATTAGACACAATTCATATTGATATACGTAGTCCCTTTACTGTTCCAACTATTTATGGACATAAATATTTTATTAATTTTATTGATGACTTTTCTAGGTATACTTATGTGTATATTATTCGTGAAAAATCAGAAACATTGGATATGTTCAAACTCTGTAAAGCTGAAGTTGAAAATCAACTTGGCACATGGATTAAAAGTGTAAGATCTGATAGAGGCGATGAATATTATGGTAGATTCACTGAGTCGGGTCAAAATCCAAGTGCTTTTGCTTTATTTTTAGCTGAGAATGGGATTGTTGCTAACTACACAATGCCCGATACACCTGAGCAAAATGGTGTAGTTGAACGACGACGCCGTACTCTTTTGGACATGATGAGTAACTCTTCTTTGCCAGATTTTTTGTGGGGTGAAGCTTTAAAAACTACTATACATGTTCTTAATAGGTTCCCAGTAAGGTTGTGCATGTAACTCCTTATGAGTTATGGGTTGGTAGGAAATCTAATTTGAATTATTTACATGTATGGGGTTGTCCTGCTGAAGCAAAAATTTTCAACCCCAAATAAAAAGAAACTAGACCCTAGAACTATAAATTCTTATTTCATTAGATATCTTGAGAGATCAAAGGGTTTTAGATCCTACTGTCCCACTCATAGCACAAGAATTGTTGAAACTGGAAATGCTGCGTTCTTAGACGATGAAAACATTAGTAGGAGTATGAATCTCAAAAATGTTTCTTTGGAGGAATATTGTGCTTTACGCATTCCACAATTATCCAAGAAAATGGAGTACTTGAACCTATTATGGGTAATGTTGGTACTAATGAGATTTCTCACATTGAAAAAGAAGTAATCCCAGTTGCAGAACAAACTTTACGTAGATCACAAAGAGAAAAGATTCTGTATAATTTTTAATAGAAATTAACTTTAGGAATAAATTGGGAAAAATTTGAAGCATGAAAGGTCAAAGTGTGAAAAAACAAATTTTAAGGGTCAAAGTGAAAAAGTAATCAAACATAAAGAGGGAAAGCGTAATTTATCCATTTTTTTATGGTTCCCTTTCTTGGACCATAGAATTACTGATATGATGTAGTTTTCCAATTGACGGGTACTCAGTTTGTATTTTCCAAAGAAGACTCATCTGAGATCAAAAGGTTGTAATTAACCCTCATCAATACATATTATTGCAACTTTATTTAAAAAAAATAAGATAAAAAATTGCTAAACTAAGTTGTATAATTGTTAATATGATTAATCTGAACTCTCTAGGCACATCAAAGAAACATAAGCAAATTAATTGTTAATATGGCCATATATAGATCACAAAAATAAACAAATAGATTACAACACAACAAGAAAAATGATTTCTTCTCTCTGCCTTTGTTTACCAAGCCTTAAAAAAAATTGAGCTTTTTAATGATCACAAAGAAGCACTTAAATCATGAAGGTCAGCGTGTCAGATGAAATTATTTCATGGGACGAATTGACACAACATTAAGGTCGTCGGGGGAATTTTGAGAACTCTGGCCGTCTACGCTCCATATATGCCGTCTTTCCCTCATTACCTTCCTCAGTTCCATAGAACATCAGAGTGGCATTTCCTCCAAATTCCTACACATCAAATGAAAAATTAGAACTAATCTGAAGATTGATACAATCTATTTGTACATTATTCATGTATCAAAAAATAATTGCTGGCTTTATGGGACTTGACTACAGTAATTATTGAATCAATAGAGTCCACAATTGCAACTATTTGGCTATCTCAGCTTGCAGTGCTTATATTAATAAGAATAAGCGCCGAGATGAATTCACAAAACGAGACGCAAATGTGAGATAAAGGTCACAGCTACATTAAATTCACTGAATCTCACATCGGTGTCTCATTATGTGAATTTCACCCTTTGTCTCACATTTGTGTACCATTTTGTAAATTTCATTTGTATTCCTAGCATTGTTGTATTAATGAAGTTGGAAATAATGATACCTGGAGTCCAGAATGGCCATCATCAACAGCATTAAGAGCGGATTTCAGCACCCGAATTGCAGTTGGACTGTTTCTTAAGATCTCTCGACACCACTTAACCGTTTCTTGTTCTAACTTCTCTAGCTATATATAGAAATAAACAAAACACAAAATAACATATGCATGCAGATGCTATATATTTATGTAGTTCATAAGATATACAACTGCCGACCCCATTTGATGGGACTTAAGGCTTGGTTTGGTTTGGTTTATAAGATATACAACTAAGAGAGAGAGAGAGACAGAGAGAGAGAGAGAGCTTATTAGCTATGTTATGCTCAAGAACTAAAAATGAAATGGTATAGATAACTATAATTTGAACTCACCGGGACAACTGTGTTGACAAGTCCCATTTTCTCTGCTTCGGAAGCAGTGTAGAACCTTGCCAGAAACCACATTTCCCGTGCTTTTTTAGGCCCGACCTGTCTAACCAGAATTAAATTTTTACAATACCAAATTTAAAATTTAGATCAAAACACATTTCCCATAAGATCAAGTGGCTATAACAACAGAACAAAAGGTTTGGCAAAAACTATTAGCATTGGTTATTGCACCAAAACAAAGGTTTGGCACAGAATAAAGCACCTTCACTCTCAAAACTTACCAAACGGGACATAATGGAACTTCCATAACCAGCGTCAAAGCTTCCAACCTGCAACATGCCTAATATCAAAACTAGTGTATGCTCACAAAAGATTAATTTTTCTACATGATATGATCAAAAATGAGAGGAAAAAAACAAAACAAAAAAAATGCAAGGTTAACATGTTTAATCAGTTCAAGCATACTTGTTAAACTACTTATTTCAATTTACAAAAAGATAAAAATGTATGTGTATATCCATATAAGAAAAACACAGCACCTTTGGACCCGTCTGACCAAAAATAGCATTGTCTGCTGCAATTGTTAGATCACAAACCATATGCAATACGTGTCCTCCGCCGACAGCATAACCTGCAACCTTGTTTCAAGAAAAAGAGAGATTGTACACTACAAACCAAATAATACAAACTGAAGTGAGAACGTTTTAAAGTGGGCGAGACAGGTTACCATAGCAATAACAGGTTTTGGAAGACGTCGAATCTGTACCTGTATGAAAGTAGAAATAGCATACATAATTATAAATCTGAATCGACAAAGGAGGAAAAGTAACATATAACTAGTTAGTTGATTTTCCAGGAGTCTCATTGTTTACTTTGTCATCAACTAAAAACTTTCCTGGTGAATGACATAGGAGGGAAATTTTAGTAGACTAGGTGGTTTTTTCTTGTGATTGACAACAAGTTCTTGAAGTAGTTTGACCATTTAATGGAAAAATGGTAATTTTGCTGATTTCACAAGGTCGTCGGATCAGGCCCAAAGCATCCATAGTCAATCTGAAATGGCCCAAGAAGTTTAACTCATAACTATGCAGTGACCTAGGCTAGAATTAGGCCTCCAAATTAAGAAATTTACTATATTTGGAAAGATTTCGAATACTTAATTTCGGGGTCTAAATAAATACATGTTGAGTCATGTTTTTTCTAGCAAGCTTCTTTTATATTCTAGATCTCATATTTTAGTCTAACTCAAATATGCTATTTTTGGCAGTTTTTTGAATTGGCTTGCTTTGGGACATGGATTGTGGCCTGGTCACCAAGTGTTGTTTGCTATGAGTTGTAGACCTTTGAGGCTATTAAGAAGTTTTGAGTAATAAAATTTTAGAGAATTTGTTCTCTTTTCTATATTGTTAGTGTTTTCCTTGTGTTTTCATTCATTCCATACGTTTCCCTTGCATCATCTTGCCTCTCCTTTGACAAAAGGTCTCTTATGGGATGTGTTCTATGCTTCATTACATCATTCACTCTTTTTTGGCAATAAAATGCTTCTTTTTTTTTATAAAAAAAGAAAAAGAAAAAAAAAGAGGAGTTCAACATGCAAGTGATATATGAGTACGCATGGCTTCAAACTCATAAAATAAGTTATAGCAGCTTTAAGTTATTTACCTGCAAATCTAAAACATTAAGGCGACCAAAATTCTCATAATCAGCATAGCCATCTTTGCTTCTCAATGCCTGGTCTCCACCACTACAAAATGCTTTGGTTCCCTGAAACAGTAGCGAAACACACATTAAGATTACCCTCGGGCATGCAAGCAATCAGGGTAATCCATAGACAAAAACTAATTGAATTGTTTGCAGAATGAAGAAATGAGGAAGTCGTGTTACTTCCTCCAAGGCAATCACTTGTTGAAACATCACACCGGATAATGCACTGTACTATTCCATAGCATATTCAATTGCCAATTAGAAGAGAAATTCAATGAATATCAAAATCTCTACTCTTTACGATCTTGGCTCAAAGTCTATGTTTTCATATGATCACAACATAAAAAATAAAGTCCCAATTCCCTGCAACTATTAGGGCATCTCCAGAGTTAGTTCCTGAACTTTAGTTATGCTTTATGAGTTTGTATGTTGTATTAACCAAATGAATACAGGAAAGTTACCTTTCCGGTAAGAATGATGACTCCCACTGAACTATCGTCTCTGGCATCATTAAATGCATGAATAAGCTCCTTAATTGTATGTGGACGGAAAGCGTTTCTGCGCTCCTGCCTGTTGATAGATATCTACAAAAGAATGAGAGAGAATATAAAGATGGTAAATCTCCAGAAATGCACTATTGGCTGTGGCCAACCATCGTTAGCTAAAAAGAATATAATGATATGGGAGGTTTGCATTGGTAATAGACAAAGCCTGAAGCCAATTCAAAGAAAGAGAAACAAAATAACTACACTAGCAGCAGGTGCAATGGAGGAGGCAAAAAACAAACAAACAAACAAAAAAACAAAAAGTTAATGGAACATATCATTTCTTGCATTTTAATAGAGTTGTATTAGTATAACCAAGAGAAAGTACAAGCAGTTCAAAGTCCTGCACTTTTGTGTAGCTAGATGTCAGTTGAAAACGGGGGATATCTTTTGCCTAATATAAATGCAACATGACAAACATGTCTACACACATCCAACACTAGTTTTGTACATCCAAACGATTGTTTTCACTTATATCTTCCTAACAGTGAGCAAAAGTATAGGGTGGTAATCAATTTTGTCAAGAAACTTAATAGGTATCATGAATACTTCTATAATTATTGATCTACCATTCCTTCACATGCTTTCGTGGGTATGGTTGCATACAACCACAGGGAGAGCTCAATGTTATGTACATGGTACTAAATTAAGTTTTTCCACAAATTAAAGATTTTTGGATGCTAGGAGGGTAGCACAAGGCAATGCCATGTAGTAATTTCAACCAATCACAAATAGCTATGCCCCTCGTGTTGTTTTCTAAACACCAATATAAATATGCGGACTCCACTGTCTATGCCAATCACAATACAAGGGGGAACCACCATGGCAATACCCTCTAGGGGTATGCAATAATTGTTTCTCTACAAATATTTAAAATGCAACAATAATGCTGCGTAACAGGGGAGGGGGGGGGGGGGGGGTCTTTGGACTTGTTATTACTCGTAAATTATATTTATTCCTATCAAATTATGTTTGTGTAGGAAAAATAAGAAATAATACGCAGTGGAAATAAACTGATTCGGGCATACCTTTTACGCTTAAACCAAATCCATGGATCATGTGGGTGAATCACGTGCCTCCATTGATGTCTTCGAATAATTCCTAGCAATAGAGTAAAACTACTAGAGAACTACCCACACTACTCACAGTACAAAGGCGGAATGGTTTATGGGAAGAGAGAACATGTAATTTTTGTTGTATCAAATACAGAACCCAAGTTCTATTTATATAGAAGAGTTTAATGTCCATCCTATATCAAGATTATCTCATATCAAGATTATCCCATATCTTGAGATATAATCTATTATATCATTTGGATCTTTTCTAACCGGGTCATGCCACCATGGGCGACCTAAACCCTACCCAATTTCTAACATCTCCCACTCGAACATGCACTAGCATGACACTGCGCATTTTGTATCTCAATCTACCCAATAAACGCAATCATACTAGCCAATGGACCGTGCAACCGCTTAGAACACCTATATGTGGGAGTTCTACACTAGAAACTCAAAAACGAGCCAGCATAAAGACATCAATCCAAAAATAAAAATAGTCTCATATACTCCAGACTCATCTAATTACAGCGGTCTAAAAAACATCTCTAATCCCTCAAAAGAGCATGTTTGACCCTCTCAATTCTTGCAATATATTCACACTCAATACGCCTCTCATACAGAGCGATGTGAGTTGTCGGCAGTGAATATATAGCAGTGGTGTAATACTAGATGATCTTCTCTTCCCTCTCATACAGAGCGATGTGAGTTGTCGGCAGTGAATATATAACAGTGGTGTAATACTAGATGATCTTCTCTTCCCTCTCATGCGATTTAGTTTAGGATTGAACACTTTCCCAGTGATGTCCCTTAAGGCCAAATCATACATGACCGCAAGTAAAATACCAGAGTCATAGAACATCAACCTTTTACCTTGTGACATTGTCAAAGGTCACAAAAGGGTACACAAGTGAAAGTCATACCAATAATGACATGTAAGACTCACACGGTGAGGAAGCAAGGATCCATTCTCTCACCTCATTACTTAGTCCCCAAGCACATGTAGTATGAATACATCCTACCGTGGGTGACTCTTCCAAAGAGTGACATCATACTCGATACATCATACAGATCTTAGTCTAGTCGCTTTCTAGCACCTAACCTGAATTCTCTATTTACTCGCCTTACAGGCGCCAAATGAGATCTCGCATCTGGCTAATCATAGCAGGAACAACATGGAAAATGGGTACTAACATCCATGTTTGGTCTTTAACACAACCTCATCTTAGTTGTAACCAAGGCGATATACATAGTTAAAAATTTAAGCCTCTCTTGGCTCTAAATAAAATAAACCACTAGTTTCATCCTTGCTCGCTCCTAAACACCAAGGGCAATTGCTTGTGTGAGTGAGCCAATCTTGCCTGCTGGCATCATCATCTGCTAATCATTATGACACAAACCATAATAGTATCAGTGTCTCATAATCTCACAAAAATAAGTGATTGATTGAAAAACCACAACAATAGTTTGCGCAATTCTAGATTTTAAACATAAGCCCTATCGGCACCTCTTGCGATAAGCATATACAACGGAATCCACCATGTGCACCTCACATGAAGTGGTTCAAGATCACTATCTCTTGCGCTATTACCTCTTTAAAAATATTTTGGTGACCAATTTGTGTTCATTCAAGATGCGCCCAACTAGCGCATTGAATCTTACAAGGGGCAAATTTGGAAAAATGTGGTAGCTCGAATTGGAGCAGGCTCGAGTGGCCCGAATGGGTGTTGGCCGGCCGTCCACATTGGATGACCGGCTGGACGTTCGCCCAGATGACCGGGTGAAAGATTGTCTACCGCGGTTGTCACCTTTGTCGACCGCGGCTGTAAGCCTCCTCACCGAACGACCGGCCGGATGACTGGCCGGACGTCTGCTCGGACGACTGGCAAGGTGAATTTCGAGCCATTCGAGCCAACTCATATTCGGGCTACCAAGCATTGCTTGGCAAATATATACACTGCCAGCAGAGCATCCTATCCATACTCTAATGAGCAAGGTCAAGGTCTAAACTACACAGTTGACCATTTACAAAAGATAACACTCATTATGCGGAATACGCCCACATAACGTACTTTAGGCTCCCATAACAAAAAATCAAGGAGTATAGATAATCAGTTTCTCCCAAAGACAATCTGAGGATTCACTCAATAACTGAGACTCTAGCTTTTACCAATAGGTAAGTCAATGGATTTGCAATTTCGCATTTAGAATCATTCTAGGATATTCCTTATGTAAGTCATCAAAGACAAAACGATAATTCTTCCAAAACAATCCGTAAAGATCGTACATCCGAGCATATAAATTACATCACCTATGTCCATCTTGTCTAAATCAGATGACTGCCAACCCTAGGCGGCGACAACCTTATAAATTCCTAACTTATAATGACTAAGTAAGGAAAAAACTTCTTTTGGACTATTGATAATGCCTCAGTGGTCTTCATCGATCATCATTGGCCCATCATGGCGAGATGAAACCTAAGAACCACTATTTGGATAACTGTTTTAGGCCATAAAAGATTTATTGAAACTAGCAATCTTTTTGCGCTCCTAACTTTTCACCATAAAAGCATAAGATAAATCCCTACGGATATATTTATCCAATTCTCCAACGAGAAGTTAGGTTACAATATCCACAAAGTAAAGTTCCAAACTCATGTTAATCATAGCCTAAGTCGAAATAACTTCACTTCCTAGGAGGAAGTCTTCTTGTGGTTTACACCTTCCTCAATGGTGCGACTTTTCGGTATCTAGTGAGCCTTATGCCTCAAAAAATGGCTATCCAAATTGCGCATAACTTTAAAACAATTTTGCGTCGTAGTGGAAAGTCAACCAAATCCTAAAAATGGTTAATTCTCAAAGCCTGTCTTAAAATGCGCAATATTGATCCACTTTCTAAAAATAGGGGACTACAGAGAACCTTTGGCATTATCCTAGACTATTTATCATCTTGAGGAGCAATCATGAATGTTTCCCTCTCAATCACTCAGTGTTGACGTGAAAAATTTTCACATTCGCTACCACGCAACTAAGAATGTAGAGTATTCTTCTCCAATGGAGTAATCCACTAGTAGGCACGTCGCTCCCACTATCCCTAAGATATTCAAAAATTTCTTTCCATTTTAAACTAGGCTACATAAAGCGCCATACTAAGAATTCTCTATCTCATAGAGTTCTAAAGCTCTATTCATGTCACATTTACCAAGAAAACTTTATGTGACTTAGTTACACTCCCACAAAGTTGCTCACCTATAAGCACATGACCTGGAGAGTTTACATGACAACATACAATAACGCGCTACATGACCCTAAGCATTTACAAGACAGCATACAATAATGCACCATAGAACTCTAGGCCTTAACTTCTCAACATTATGAGAAGTAAAATAAAGATAAGCTGCTTGATGGTTACAAATCGCCCACAAATGGCTCTTCGTTAACCCATTACTCAAATGGAGTGTAAAATCTGATATGGAGGGCACTTAGTTAGGGACATAGGCAACAAACTAAAGTGCAATTCCCAATTGGGAAACATATTGCACCATCATCTATTTAACATAAACAATACTTAATTCCCTATCTCTACTACACCATTGTGTTGCTAAGTACTAGGAATAATAAATTTCTCTTCAAAAAACTTTCTAAAACACAACTCAAATAGATACTCGCCACCTCGGTCAAAACTAAAAGCACAAAAGCTCTTATCTAATTGATCTCCACCTCATATGTGCAATGTCAAAAATCATCTCAAAACTTTTGACTTATGGGAGATCAAATAGCCTTGACTAAGATGTATATTGTAATCTATAAATGTGTCGAGATTGGGGTTAACCATCATACCCTTACACATATCTAGTCACAAATATCGTAGTGGACCAAATGCGCCAATACAGATGCCCTTCTGTGGCTTTCCTACTTACTTGTGTGCAACCATTGCGAACAAAGTTACACATTCACGTGAGAGCAAGACACCACAAGTGAGTGGGCCCCAGAGGGCCTACTCAAACCATCCATGTTATCTTCTCATTAATGTGATTAAGTACAACAAGCCACCAGTTTATGACCAATGTCATAAATTAATTCCAATCATCCTAATGTGTGAGGTTCTCAAAGACAAGTGTAAAGGTTTAGGTCCAACTAGGTAAAGACTCACGACTAACTCATGCTCACTAGATCATAAAAGGATGTCATGGAAATATCAAGTGCGCCTAAGTCGCAAATTTAACTAGTAAGTGCTAATCCCCTGCACATTCAAGTCAATTTTATTCTCCATACACTTTACTGCATCATTCTTCATAGTTAGTTGCAATTAATTCTACTATCCACATAAAGGAGAAAATAAGCTATCAATCTATGATAACTCCCGAAGCAACTTAAGCGCGAATTAGGCTAAAGAGTCTAATTCAACACAATGCCCTCACGAGCGCGTCAAATTCTTAGAGTCATAACAACCATATCGGCCTTGACCTTTTCATTACTATGCTGCAACTTTTGCGCTTAGTGGTAAATGCCATTCAAAAGCGTTAACCTAGCTAAGGAATCATACAAAGAAGCACCTCCTCATGTCTTACACTCAAAAGTGTGGAAACAGTAAGCATCCAGACTTAGACAAGTTGGCAGTGCTAATAGATTTTACAGCCACTAGGCGCTAATCGTCTCACTTTGTGTTAATAGATTTTTGCAACTTCTAAGCGCTAATCTTTTAACTTCAAGTGATACTTCAATGCACACTATCATAGTGCGTGAAATTTTGCTCTATTCACTCCCATCAGTTGGGTAGAGAGCAAAACACTAGTTATACTAGCTACTCATTTTACACTTAATGGCTAACTCATTTAAGCTCGCATTTCTTAGATGACGTGACTCTTGGATGTTGCTTTATCCAATGATGCAACATTATTACAAGTCAAATTATAAAGTCAATCCGCGCAGCTCAATAGTCAGGATCATATCTAGATCTATTAAGGGCTTACTAATTTCAAAACTCTAAACTCGCCAATCAAAACTACTTAGCATGACGCTAATCATAGCACACACATCAGTTTTTATTGCACCAAACAAGGCAACAAAACCACGGCGGCGTTGAGTCATGTTTCCTTTCTTTGGCTCAATTAAGGTTTGATCTAAATTCTCCAGGACTTTCTGCTCATCTAAAGAATAGGATTACATTGTTCACTTTTAAACATCTCTACTAAGTCTAGGTGAACCAAATTAACTTCCATAAACTAAGTCAATTAGAGGAAAAAATGAGCATTGGGATTAATTTGATTAGTATATCATAATATAATTTTGTTGCAAAAATCTAAATTAAATAGTGACAATATTACACAAGTCTCAAGATTGAAAATTCGTTATGCTCGTAATCATCTCTTGCGCCACAAGTAACAATTATCCAAAATTTAATTTAATTCATGCGCAAAATATTAGTTTTGGAGAGTAAATCTACAAAAATTTCTCTCAACCGAACAACCTCCCACTAACTATGGCATGTCTAAAGTATGATAAAATATTTAACTCCACATGATAACATCTCAATATAATTTATAAAAGAAAACATGCTAGAATATTTAATCATGAAATTAAAATTCACCAATATAAATAAATTATGCTATTTAAAATAACAACATACTACAAGTTCTAATCATTTAAAAGAACTTAATATGTTGTATATAATATTCAAATAATGCCATAACATATTTCTATAATTTCTGCAATTTTCTAGAATTATAAGTAATTAATAATTACATAAAAAATCATAAATAAATATTACAGAATCTGAAAAAATACAAAACGATCAGAGATGGTTCAAAAAGACATTAATTTATGTACAAATCATATCTATATATATATATATATATTCATGCACAAATAACACGAAAACACTCAACAATAGCTCTGATACAAATGTAGAAAAAATAAAAAATATAGATAGCAGAAATAAACATATTTGAGCATACCTTTTACGCTCAAACCGAATCCATAAATCATATGGGTGAATTACGTACAAAGACAGAGAGAACATATAATTTTTGTGTCAAATACATAACCCAAGTTCTGTTTATATAGGAGAGTTAGGAGACCCATAAGATAGATACATTATCCTATATGAAGATTATCTCATATATTCAGATATAATTTGTTATATCATTTGAATCTTTTCTAACCGGGTTATGCCACCATAGACGACCCAATTGGGTCTGGATCCTAAATCCAACCCAATTTCCAACAGTTTGTGAAGCTGACTCATTAAATCTGTGTTCCATATTTAAACAACAATAATGCTATTGGTTTAAGTTACTAATACAATGTTGACTTATAAAACGGTAAACAAGACATGATAATAATAGGAGATCATTAATTTATAGTATAAGTAAATCTAAATGCACAATAATTTTCACACATATGGACAACAAATAGTGGATGCTAGATATGATGGATGCCACTCAGCTTTTACCTCACATCTCTATCTAACTCTGTAAAAAATTCTGTATAACTAGCCCAACTGATAGAAATACATATACATTAATATCATCCATAAAGTCATTTTGCATTTTCTAAAATCACCAATCACAGTTTCACACATTTCAATACTAAGGCAAGTTTGGAATATTGCAAAAAAGCTAAAAAATAAAAAAGTTACTCAAAAAGTTAAAAAGTTAACACTATTCATCAAAATTCAACAATTACGACTGCACAACTCCAAATCCTAATTTTTCCTACAAATCAACTTTTATAATTTTTTATTACACATTTTTTCATAAAAAGTTAACCCAAACATCCATATTTTCTTTCTCAATTTTTTAGTCAAAAAAACAAAAAATGCACTTATTTAGGACACACAAAGAACCCCTAAATTTACCCCACCAAAAAATAAAATAAAATAAAAAAGAGAAAAAATATGGACCTTAGCAATGGGTTCGCCAACAGCTTTCTCGTAGAGAATGTCGGTGAACTCCTTGCCATTATCATCACAATCAACAAGTCTCCAAACAGGGTCGTGGGTCGGGACTTCACCGTGTATTCGGTGATATCTATCGTTCATTGAAGAAGAAGAAGAAGAAGAAGAAGACGCACTGCAATTGCAGAGCCCAATCGAACCACTGATGCTCATGGGAGCAATATGGTTGGTCACAGAGGCCAGTCTCCTTTTCATGGTGTTGATTTCGTTCTCTGCCATGGCTTGTTTTGTATGTGAATTTTTAATTTGCTCTGTTTTTGAAGGATTTCAAGAGGGTGTGTTTTTGTACTTCTTCACAGGATAGTGGTTGGGAATTTTGGGAATTCGTTTTCTGACCCGTAGGACTGGGCGGATAAGATAACGTTTTTTTTTTTTTTTCCTAAATACGATTTGCTCATGTGATTCTTGATAATAATTTTTAATTATGTTAAAAATTTATTTTAATTAATAATCTAAATAATTTTATTATTGTATAAGATAGCTGTTAAAAATTTTATTTTTTTAATTAATTTTGTTAAATAAAAAATTATGATAATAAGATATTTATAATTTTTTAAATAATAAGAAATAATTTGTATTTTAAGCAAATCTTAAGAAGTATACAAATAATCTTAAACTATATCGAATTTAGGAAAAATTACTCATCGGTCCTGTTACACCTGTTTCCCATTAAATCTTAGATCTCGTTCATTAATATGTTAAAAAAATAAAAAAATTATTATAAGTTATCATATTATTTTTTTTCACATTTTTTATTAAAGGCTAAAAAGTTTACTAAAATTGTAAATTCTCAAACAAGCCCTTATTTGGGGTGTTTGGTTTTGGTTAAAATAATCAATAAAGACAAAAAAAAAAAAAATTAAATAGTCAATAAAATAAAATGTCACATCCTACACACAAATCAATCAATTTTTCTCTCACAATCATCTAATAGAGAAATTATTCATTGCACCTCGGGCACCACCACCAATAATAATGTGCCATGTGGCACATTAAATGTGCTCAAATTGTTGATTTTTATTTTTATTTTTTTATTTTGAAGCTCTTTATAATGTTTTAGGAGAGTTCAATTTATTGTTGATTTTTTTTTTTTTTTGAAGTGGTGAATTATTAAATCTGTGACTTATTTGAATGTTAGCTTGTATTTCTTGGTATAGAAGATTGTGTTTGTTTGTATTACTCAGAACCATTTGTTAAAGTTTGTAAGCTCTGGTTGTCTAAAATCTTTTTTTTTTTTTTTTGGGCAAACTGTAGGATACAATATTAGTGGATTAGTAAGTTATACTATAATGAGAGGGCCACAGCATCGACTCGAACCTGAACCTCTGACGGTCTCAAGGGACAACTACATAGACTACTGGGCCAACTGTCCTGTCCATCAAGTATAGATTTTCATTCCCAAATTGCCTTGCAATTGCCTCACTTTTGTATTTTAAATTTTAAATTTCAAATTTTTGTAATTTTTATTTTTGTGATTCATGTACATTTTTATTTTGTCAGTCGAAAAAGATCAAACGATTATGTTCTGGCGTGGTTGAAATGAAATGTAAATTAGTGAGCATCATAATTTTTCACAACTCAAGCCTTTGTCTGAATTATTTGAGGTTGGCTGCATCATAAATCTTATGGAACACAATAGCACAAACAAAAGGGGTTGAATACAAGTTATATTATTATAGTGTTTCCAGCCGTGGAGTTTATTTTGTGGTTTGTTTACAATGCGTACATGTGCTGGAGGAATGCATAATGTTAGATGATCGTTTTGGTCCATTGACAACTATGAGCTCATCAGTTATGTGACTACTATGAGCTCATTATTTATGTGAGCTCTGTTGTTTCTATGTGAACTTGATTATCAAACTAAAAGCAAGCAGTGTGTTTGGTTTGAGTTTTCTGAATTAAGTTTTTTGAAAATTAAGTTTTTTGGTTTTCGTATTTTTTTGTTTTTAGTGAATTTTTTAAAATTTTAAACATTTTTTTTCAATAAATAAATAACCAACAAAAACATGAAAAGAAAACAAAAAATAACTCAATCACAGGTAATGTATTTATTACACAATTAACTTTAACTTCCAAATCTAGCAAAAAAAAAAAAAATTTATTTCAAAAGATCCAAGACTGTTCAGTACTCAGTAAAATAGAGAAATAAAGTTTAGAACAAGATTTTGTGTCAAAAACATTATGAATACACTTACGAAGCATATTTGAGAAATGTACCAGGGTGCACGTTTTGTTGATGACATAGTTTTAATTGATGAATTTAGAGTAGGGATTGATTCTAATTAGAACTTCAAGATCATACTTTACAATCTAAAATTTAAGGTTATGTAGGGCTAGTACATAATACATGGAGTATAATTTTAGCAAAATTACAAATAGGAATGATGTGATAGTGAAACTTGATAACTAGGCTATACCAAGATTAACCATTTCAAATATCTCATATCAATTACACATAAAAAGGAGAGGTTTACGAAGATGCCAGCAATATCCTTACAAGTACAATGGATGAAATAGAAAGGTCTTTTCTGATTCTTGCATGATCATGAAAATTCCCTCTGATTTGCAGGGGAGGTTTTGTAAGATCTAGTCAGCTATGTTCTATGGCTCAAACTGTTGGCTAGTTGGAAAATATGTCCAAAACTGAGTGTAACTAACACAAGAATGTGGAGATGGATGAGTCGTATTATGAAAAAAGACCCAAACAAGAAGTGAATATTGTCCTAGGAAGTAAGAAGTGGGAGGTATAGCTAACACGAGAATGTTGAGATGGAAGAGTGGTATTATGAAAAAAGACCCAACAAAAAATGAATATTGTCCTAGGAAGAAAGAAGTGGTGCCAAATTGTTTAAAAAGAGAAAAGTTAATTGACATGGTTTTAACCATGTCCTGCACAAATCAACTAACCCGCAAATATGGAAGTGAGTAGGGGCGAAGAAAAAAGAACTTGATTGCTTTTGGACTTCAATGGAAGATATTGCATCGCATGAAACAATCTAAAGAAGATGGATAAATATAGCCTCCCCTAATCAGTGGCGGAGCCAGAATTTATTGTCAGCGGGTTCAATTAGTAGTCAATACATTATGTGAGTATTAACTTGCTAAAAAAAAAAAAGCTAAAAACGTCGTATTTTATTTTTTATTTTGAATTAAATTTTCAAAGAATAACGTTTTAGCAAACTTTTTCAATATTTTTTTCTTTAAAATTTGGTATTCTCTTCAACTATATAATTTAGTGGGGTCAATTTAATGAAATTTCAAAATATCTTTTAATTTTTTGAGTTATCCTTTGAGATTACAAAATATTAGTTAAAACGGTGAATCAACTCCAATTATCTCTCAAATTTCAGTGGGTTCAAATGAACCCACATACTGTAATGTAGCTACGTCCCTGCCCCTAATTATTTGGATTTATGCTTCTTGATTTGAGTTGAGTATTCAGAATTTTGAAATCAAGTAGTAGAATAAACAAGCAAAATGCTAACTTAGCATTGACCAGAGGTTACAACAGAGATAATGTGTCAGCACAATCAAATTGCAGCTTTGACTAATTGGTTTCAGTATTAGCAGGGTTTTCATATAGGACAATACGCTAAACTGCACAACCAGAATTCAGAAAATATGACTGAAAATCCAGGAAAGGAAAAGCACATATAGTGTTGAGACCTACTGTCTGTTCTGCCATTATAACAAATGTTTCGAGTATAGTATGTTTGTCCGGCACAAAAAACAAGAATTTAAAAATATTTTTGTGCCAAAATTTTCAATTTTTTTCCACAAACTAAAAGTACTTAATGAGATCTTTTAATTGGTGACATTTTTTTGAAATTTCGGTACAAGAATACATTATTTTAAGTTATTGTATTCCGCGCTAGGCAAACAATTTGGGACAGAGGGAGTAGATAGTAGTATATCACCGAAAATACAGGACACCATCGGTACACTGAAGTTTAGTGATTTCTGCCCTAGTGTTGTGCTACATGTCTAGTGACAGACCAGCTACAATTTCATATCAATAGTGTTGCACAACAACTGATTCCAAGGATTCATCACCTCAATATCGTACACGAATTCGGCAACAATTTTAACACGTCTATTCTAAACGAGTGACAACCCTTTGTTTGCAACCCAAGCATGTGCTTAGGGCAATTACTACATAGTAAGCCACAGCTAGCTTAATTTGAATGCATTATAATTAAACCAAGAAGGAAAACAATTTGTCAAGAGAGTTGAGGACAAACAATTAATAACTCTTATGCCTGCAGACTGAGAAAGCTCTGCCTGAAAAACAACTCGATGCTCAAAACAGCAGAACTCAACCACGAGGTATAAACAACTCGATGTTCATGCTCCTTAATTTTGTCCATAGTTTTAAATGCAGCGGTCCAGCTAATCAACTCGTTGAATCTGTCCCCTTTCATACTTATTTACAAGCTTTTCCAAATGACTCCCCTCGTTCTTCCTTAGGAACCTAACAAATTGTGGTGAGTTGTGGTGAGAAGATGAACAGAATCTAAGCATCAAAACATTTTTAAAAAAACTAGGCAAAAACCAAGAAACATAAAAGTACTAACCCCAGCAAAAGCCTAAGCTTATGCCTCCCTGTTTTGAGTTGTTTTTTTGTGTTAAAAAGACTAATGGTGGCCCCACCAATCAAACCCTCATTTTTCCCGCATGAAACATCCCAAACCTGCAATGTCAGGAATATCACAACAAATTACAGCTTAGCACCAACTGAATCCAAACCTAATGTATAACAGTAAATTCTATCTTCAACTGTAGCAAAAGACATACACCAAACAAGATATGAGATAAAGGAAACTTTCTTAACTCATGCACCAAATTGACTACTTTCTCAACGATAAATCAATAACAGAATGAGCAGTGAACAGAACTCAATTTCTACATATGATTAGTAGCATTTTAGTTATTACAAAAGCAAAGCATTATTATTAAAAATCAGACCATGCAATACAGATATACCTAGGAACACATTAACAGAGAATGAGAACAAGACTAATAGTATCCAAAGACACAAGGGCGGACCTAGGGCAGGGCGGCTGCAGCCCAGCTCAAAATTTAAAAATTCTGTAGAAATTTTTTTTCCAGCCCAGCCCAACCCAGCCTCCCAGTCCCAAATAAGGGTCAATAGTTTTTTTTGTTTGTTATTTAGATAGCCAGCCCAACCTAACCCCTTATCCAAAAAAAATGAATAGGCAGCCCAGCCCAATAGGTTTATATTTGTTTAAAGAACAAATCTTCCCTTGGTCATCAGCAGCTTCTCTGACTCTTCTTCACTTCATCTTCTTCTTCTTCCCATCGGTGGTATAGGTAAGATTTATCGG